CCTCCTCCTCCTCCTCCTCCTCCTCCTCCTCCTCCTCCTCCCACCCCCCCAAATAATGGGAGGTCGTCTGCGCCGGCTATGCTCCGATACGTCCTGACCTGAGGTGGTCTGGTCCATTTCGCCTGAGACATCCTCCATCTTTGAGCTCGCAGATGCAGCGCGAAGGGTACTCCAGCCCCTTTCCCGATACAAATTCGCTCCTCATGGCTGGGGTAAATTGTGACGTGATGTGGTTCAACCCGTTGCACCTGAGACTTCCTGCACGCGAGATGGTCTCTCTCGTGTGTCCCTCTTCCCCCAGACCGCCAATTTCCGACAAGCACAAGCTCTGTTGTAAATGTTGGCGACATGCGTCAAGTGGCCTGAAAGCCCTCGGCCGAAGGCCGAGAAACATATAGGTGGTGAACAAAAAACCGGACAGAAATCGCCTGAGGCCACTGGACGGCCCCAGCAGCCAATCCTACAAGCCTTTTTAGGGCATGAATGGTTTTGCGAATTTCCTCTTCCAATCCCCCTCTTCCCCCTCGGGGCGGGGTTTGCCCCGCCCCCTCCCCCCTGGGTCTGGGCGGAGCTTTCCGTGAGGGATATCGCGTCCAAGATGGCCTCGGCGAGGAGGCACCGATCATTGCTTTTGTCTACATTATGGACTCCTGGGGGGGGGGGCGGCTACTGCACTACGGCCCTTCCTTTGATGGATCTCCGCCAAGATGGCCCCTGGATGGCCCCCGAGGCTCCCACGTGTGGTCCAAGACGGCCCCAATGTGTCCAGGGGGGCCCAAGATGCCCCCAAGATGCCACCAAGGTGCTCCCAAAAGAGCCCCACGACGCCCGAAGAGGCCCCCCAGAGGCATCCAAGACGCCCCAAGATGCCTCGGCGAGAAGGCCAAAATGAGAAGGTTTTTGCTAGAATTTGGCCTCCTGGGAGGGGTACCCTAATCAGGGAGCCCCCCCATCCTTTGATCGATCTCCTCCAGGCTGACCCCACGATGGCCCCCGAGGCTACCAAGGGTGCCCCCAGACGGCCCCAAGATGTGCCCAGGACTCCACATTCAAAACCTTGATGACGGGAACAAGCCTTCAAACTGGTTCCTCAAACAGTACATCGAGACTCGGCAGGCGCTCTCCGTTTGGGATCGCTGCCAATGGCGGCCTAAGCGGGCTGATCGCTCATCGAGGGTGTGGGGAAGTCAGGTGCCGCAGCACCACCTGGGCTTGGCGTCCTCTTCCTGGGTGGGCCCGGCGGCACTTCGAGGAGAGGTGGAGCGGGACGAACAAGAAGCCGCTTTGGCCAAGCACTCCTTCGCCGCGGGCAACACCACGCCATTGCAAACCGTGAGCTCCAGCAAGCGGTCGATCGCCTGCTGCGGCGGGGGGCCGCCTGGCGCGAGCTGCAGCGAACACTCTGGGTCACCGCCAATGTGAAACTTGCCCCCAAGGTACTCGGGTATAACATCGTCGTCCAAATACTGTCTCAACACCTGCAAGGTATCTTCTGCACCGCCAACCACCTCAAATTTGTCCCGGGTCCCGGGGTCCAGCAGGTAATTGAAGAGCGACCAGGCCCTTTGGAAGACGGGCGGGGCCCCGATGATGAGCACCTTGTCTGTCACCTCCGTGAGGAGTAGGTTGCGGCTCTTTACGATCCGGGCCAATGTCCGCGCGGCCTGGAACTGTGCCTGATCCAGCCCGAAGCCGTGGACATCTATGATGATGAGAGCTGGCGCTAGAGGCTTGCCTCGGCGCAGTGCGTCCTCCTCCAGTGCGCCGAGGAGCCGGTTGCAGAACACGATATCTATTCTCAGCAGCACCTCCCAAGGCATGGCTTTGACGAGGTCAGGGAACCTGCAGTGCCCTATCCGCTCTATCGCCACGGGCTGGCCGTGCTTGCCATGGCCCAGAAGGCCGCCAGATAGCCACCACGGGGCCAAGCAACGCTCGTAGGCTTCCAAGTCCCAACTCGTGAAAATCCTGTCCATGTCGCCCTGCTGCCGCCAACTGGCGGCGGCGCGGAGCTGCTTCTCCGCTTTGTCCACGTTCCACTTGTTCCCGCGGAGGTACCGCACCAGCGTGGACCCGTCCGTGCGGTGGCCGCCCAGACCGGGCCCTTTCATGGCAAGCTCAGTGAGGTCCTCGACGCGGCGAGACAGAGAGTCCACTTTCTCCCGACGCTCGGCGCCAAGCTCCGGCAGTGGGATGTCAATGTTCGTCCGCGAGAGCACTGGCAGCTCGGTGGAAGCCATCGGATCTCCGCGGAGGCCACAATGCTTGTAACGCCCAATACCCAGCGCCCAGCAGGCGACGGCGTCTTGCGCCGCCGTGCTGCCACCGACCCGCTGTCCCGACTGCTTCTCCAGCGCCGCGGTGGCACTCCTGCGGTCCGTGTGCTGGACGCCACTTTTCGAATGCTGCTGGCGCTGTCGCAGCCAGTGCCAAAGCAACAAAGTGGCCACGGTGACCACGGCTGCACCCGAGCCCGTCGTCGCAAAGTACGCATCACGGGCCTGCGACACCAGGTCCGCCATGCCCGCTGCGGCCGCGGCGTCGCTCGAGCCCCGACGCTTCACCCAAAACAGCTTGAGCCAGAATGGCTACGGAGGAGATGGTGATCGCCCCTACTCATATTGTAAAACAGATAATGGCGATCCGGAGGACAAGCCGCGTGCGCGGGACCCTGAAGCTCGAAAGCGCGACTACTTCGAAATCCTTTGAGACCCTTCGAGCAACCACTCATCTGGGCCTCTTGACGCCCCCTTGGGGGTCCCCGTGGGGCCCTCCGAGGGCGCATTGGGTGCCGTCTGGGCAGGCCTGAAAGCATCTCCTGGGGCCCCCATCGAGAGCATCCTGTGCCCTCTTGGACATTCGCGGGGCTCTCGTGGGAGGGTCTGCTGGAGCCGTCCTGGGGCTCGCCGGCGGCGGCCCAAAGGTGCAGTGCAACATGATCTGAGTGCACCGCCGTTCATGGGGGGGGAGGGCGTCCGTCCTCTCCCCCAGCGCCCCGCCCTCCTTGCCAGCTGCGCTCGCCCCAGCCCGCCCCCGCAAGCAAGGCGGCGGCAGAGGACATGCGCGGCATCACCGCCACCATATGTCCCATCGCCTCGCAATCGCTCGGACGTCCAATCCCCGTGAATTGTTCGATGCCGTGCGATTGTCCAAGATGCTCCTCGACGAAATTCGCCGGCCCAACGGGCCAGAGGCGTGCTAAGATCTCCGGTAACTACTTAACAGTATTTCTAGTTCGCGCGCGCGGGGCGGCCCCTGGGGGGCCCCGGACGAAAAGTACCCCGGCCGATCCCCGGCTGATCCCCGGGCGATCCCCAGGGGGGAGGCTTTTTCGCCACCCCTCACGAGGATCGTGGGCCCCGAGGGGGGGGGCTGCCAACGACTACCCCCCTCCCGCCCCAAGGGGCCCCCAAGAGCCCCCCAAGAGGCCCCAGGGGAGCCCAATGCGCCGCCAAGGAGCCCCAATACGCTCCCAAGAAGCCCCCAAGACGGCCCCAAGAGGCCCCAAATAGCGCTCCAGGGCCGGCGGAAGGAGCGAAGCGATTCAATAGTGCACACGTCCGAACGATGGCAAGTCTCAGGCAGTGCCAATGAAGGGGCCCCAGGACACACAAATAAATACACAAATAAAAAGATTCCCCATATTTTCTCATATTTTCTAGGTTTTTGTCTTCCCCCCCACTTCCCATATTTGCCTATATTTTCTGGGGAGTCGACGATTAATCCCACCAGCCCTCTGGGCGTCGGTGGTTTAACGAGTTTCCTCTTCCACCCCTCCCTCTTCCCCTTCGGGGAGGGGTTTACCCCTCCCCCTACCCCCTCCCCACTGACCTGGATAGGGGGTTCCGCGGCGCGTTGGAGCGCCCAAGATCGACCCCTGGGAGGGCTAAAATTCGACACCCCTCACGAGGATCGTGGCTCCTGAGGGGGGGGCTGTAATTAGGGACCCCCCTTCGTTGATCGATCTCCTCCAAGATGGCTCCGAGGCCCCCCAAGAGGCCCCCAGGAGGCCCCCAAGAGACCCCCAAGAGGCCCCAAGAGACCCCCCAGAGGCACCCAAGAAGCGCCCAGGAGGCCCCAAGAAGCGCCCAGGAGGCCCCCAAAGGCCCCAAGATGGCCCCAAGAGGCCCCAAGAGGCCCCCAGGAGGCCCCAAAGAGGATCCCGAACGGCCCACAGAGGCCCCCCCGAGGCACCCAAGACGCCGAAAAGCCCCTCAGGACGACCCTCTACTCGCCTGGGCGTCGTTTCTGGACGGGCTGGTGGGGATACGCGAAGCGTCTAGAATTGTGTCTGTGTGTTTCTTTTCCTCCTGAGCCAAGTCGTCATGAGGATCGGGGTTCGGGGAGCGAGGGCCGAGGCGATGACGACGACGTTGGCTGTAGTGGGAGGCTCCGGGGGGGCCCAGGGGAGGGTGGCGCTTGGCGCTGCTCACGGAGGGGGCGATAGATGAGGGGTGGAGCCCAGACCTCCTCGAGTCATGAAAAAATCACGACGGAAGGTTTTTCCTAATTTTCGGCCTCCGGGGGCCCTCACGGGGCCTCGGGAGCGTCAAAAAACGACTCAGGATGCAAAACCGGTCCTGGGGAAAGGGTCCAGACCTCTGGGGGTCGACGTAATGAAAAAATCATTACGTCGGGGGTCTTGGAGAAAGGTTACCTTTCGAACCCTGAATGCCCCCTTTGGGGCTGTAAAGTGCCCCTTTTCTGCAGCCCTCGCTGCCGCCCCCCGATTCGTCGCCCCCCATTGCGCGCCCCATGGAGACCCCCCGTGGCATTGCTGCATTCACGTGGGTTGTTTGGACGGAATCACACTTGCACGCGCGATTTTCCCCGCGGCGATGCCTCCGCTACCTCGGCCGTCCGCGATGAAGAGATTCACGCGATGGTGGCTCGTCCACTTTCTGAACTGAGCGTGCAATGCGTGCACCTACCTCGCATGCCAATGGGGAGGTCGATTGCTGAATGGGCAAACGTGGGAAGCGACAAGAGTGAACATTCCTTTTCTAACGGAGCCCACTGTATTTCGGCTCTGCGAATGTGCGACAGACCATACCCCATAGCACAACGTGATAAACAAAAAGCATCCCGACATCTCGAGCCGGGGTAAGATTTCATTAGCTCGCGAATTCAAACAGCCACAGGAATGGCAGGGTTGCCATTGCAAACTCCAACCAACAAGTCGCTCACCATGCCAGCGGCGGAAACAACTCTGCACGCGCTGACAAGCGTCGAATCAAATGATGCGAGCGGGGACGCGCATGGGTAGGCACTACGCGAGCTCACATGAGCGCATGACTCATGCCATGGGGATCCATGGCCAGCGCCAGCAGCACCGATTTCCGCCGACCAAAGACGACAACAACAACTCTACAGACAGACTGTGAGAGGTTCGCGCGCTTCTCGGGGGCGGGCGCTGGAGCCCCTCCCTGGCGCGCGGCGGCCACGAAGGCGCCGCTGGGGGGCGGGTGGGTCCAGCGCCGACCAGGAACTCCTCGCGGACCTCCGACAGTGTCTGCGCATGATGGGCCTGTTCCACCACCACCACCACCACCACCACCACCACCACCACCACCACCACCACCACCACCACCACCACCACCACCATAAGTTGGACGGGGGGGTCCTCCTCCCCCCGTCTTCTTCTTCCTCCTCCTCCTCCTCCTCCTCTTCCTCCTCCTCCTTCTCCTCCTCCTCATCCACCTCCTTCCCCCCTCCAATTTATGGTGGTGGTGGAAAACAGGCCCATCATCCGTATGCAGATGCTCCTTCTTCGGCACAGGCGAAGCATGCCCACGAGCACGTGCGTCAGGGCCAGAGCCCCTTTGAAGAGCACTCCCAGGTGGAAAGGCCAAACAAAGAAAAAGAGACGGCACCTGAGGAAACGACACACCACCCGCACCGCTGCTCCACGGACCTCTCCGGGGGCGCGTCCCGACCAGGCTCTCGAGGGCAAACCCCGCCCCGGCGACGAGGGCAGGGCAGCGGGAACCGTACCCTCTTCCTCCTCTGGGCCCCCCTCCGAAGCTATAGGGCTCTCTTGACCCTCGCGCCGGCGGCTCCGCCCTCCCGCCGCGGCGACCCGGGCTCAGTCGACCTTCCTGGCGGCGGCCCTGCCAAGAGACGCGGTGCCCACCACCGCCGAGCCCGCCGCCGCAGCCGCGACCCCGGCCAGGAGCCAGCTCGTCCTCGCACGGGGGGGGCACGGCGGCCCCGATCCCCTGCCCAGTGGGACTCTCGCCTGGGCCATAATTCGTGGGCCAAGCTCGGGGATGCATACAGTGGGGATTGATTGGATAGGACACGCGATAGGACGCAAGACCCTTCCGAGGGCCACATTGCCATAGGAATGTAGGAGGCACGGGTCGCGACACACAGGGCACAAGGGTACCCTTGATTGGCAAAGTCGACCTACTAATCGACCTCGACTTTACTCAAAGTCTCTGATGCCGCAAACTGGCATTGGGCGACGGTGCCGCCTGAACATGCCCTGGGTGCGAAATACTAAGGTGGTGCTACTTTTGTTTGGCGACGGCGCCTTTGGTGACCCACCACGTGCCCTCGGTGCGCTGCCGAGATTTGGCAAGGGACTGGCATAACCATCCCCCGCCGACGAAAACATCCTTGTCGCATTGCTTACCCTTTTGGCGGTGGTGTCATAAAAAATTGCCACACGGAACAAACTGAGCGACATGTAAGAAAGTAGGAGTGCACGATGGGGAGGGGGCGCGCCCGAACGGCCCCCTCGGACAGTGCATCCCGAGCCTCCCCTCTCTTCTGAACGGCCTGGTCTTGGCGGCGCGCACAATGGGGGTAGCGGGAGGGGGGGAGGCTTCTTAGAAGGAGGCTGTTTCTCAGAAGGCGCCAGCCTTCCATCTACAAACAGGGCCCTCTCATTCTCAGAAGCAGCCTCCTCCCCCCCTTCCCCCCCTTCCCTCCCTCCCGCCCTCCCCCCCTACAGAGAAACCTTCCCCCCTTCCCCTACCCCCCCCCCTCTGCGCGTGGAAGATGGCCCCCTGCTATGGGCAACTCGGAGACGGGGGGCGCCCTGCGGTCCTCGCCATCGCCCGCTCGCGCCTCGAGACGAGCTCCTCCAGCTCCTCCAGCAGCGCGACGGCCCCCCCTTGGCTGCGCCGTGGCGGGGAGGGGGCCTCCAGGCCAGCCTCCGGGCCGGCCTCCCAGCTGCCGCTCCTGCGGGCGACAAGCAGGGGGTGAGGGAGAGCCTCAGGAGGGGGAGGAGGAGGAGGAGGAGGAGGAGGAGGAGGAGGAGGAGGAGGAGGAGGAGGAGGGAGGAGGAGGAGGAGGAGGAGGAGGAGGGAGGAGGGAGGAGGAGGAGGAGGGAGGGGAGGAGGAGGAAAGGAGGGAGGCGGAGGAGGACGAGAAGGAGGAGGAGGAAAAAGGAGGAGGCGGAGGAGGAGGAGGAGGAGGAGGAGGAGGAGGAGGAGGAGGAGGAGGGTGAGGAGGGGGAGGAGGAGCTGGAGGAGGAGCTGGAGGAGGAGGAGGAGAAGCAGGAGGAGGAGGAGGGGGAGGAGGGGGAGGAGGAGCTGGAGGAGGAGCTGGAGGAGGAGGAGGAGGAGGAGGAGGAGGAGGAGGAGGAGGAGGAGGAGGAGGAGCCTTGCAAATAATGGCCTCCAGTGCGCGGACTGTCGACCCCGCGCGATGTGCGGCGGCAGCGGGCCCGCGTGCTCGGGTCGGCCCCCTCTCTGCGGTCGTCCTCAGAGCGCGTGCTAGCGCCAGTCATGTGGGCTCGAGGGAGCTTACCGTCGGGGCCTTGACCTAAGGAGCGATAGATAAGGAACGAAGCCCCTTTTTACCCCAAGGAATAACGCATAAGGAGCGATACATATCAAACAACGCACAAGAGACTGTAAACAACGCGTGCAAGCCTAAGGGACGACCGAGCCCCTTTTGAAAAGTAAGTGTTCCTTATTCAAGCCGCTCACTGTATCACTGCACCGACCTTGCAGAGGTACTGCAGCGGATTTTTTTGCGCGAATTCTCTGTCAAGGCAAAACCCGAGACGGCGAGGGAAAAACGAAGCGAATGCCACGTGGATGTGTGTTCAATCTTCACTGCTGGCCCCAAGAAGCCGCATGAAATTCACCTCGAAATCCAGAACGAAATTCTCCGGGATACAGTCGGGGCGTTGACCTGAGGAACCCTAAATCAGGAACGAGGCTCCTTTTTTGCAGAAGTTCAACTTCGATTTCGTATCGAGAACATCGGAAAACCTGAGGCAAGCTGTGAAACACTTAAGGAACGCGGAGCCCCTCCCCAACGACAAGGGTTCCTTCTTCAGGGCCCCAACTGTACTCCGTGCCCATCTATTGTTTTCCGAAGGAAATGCGCTCTGCGATGAGGCCACACACCCAGTTCGGAGAGTCTGAGGCGAAGTCTGGGCCGAGCCCACACCTTGCCGTGTCACGAAATACCAGATGTTTCAGCGGCGCTGGCGGAAACATCGTCGACATCATCTTCGACTGCCCTCAGAACGCGTGTTGGCGCCATTCATGTGCTTGTGCACCGAGGCCCCTCGATACGACGCAGCTGGTGTCGGGAGGGCCGACACAGGCCATGTCCTGCCAGTGGAGCCCAACGGGATCACACACACACACACACACACACACGCACGCACGCACGCACGCACGCACGCACACACACACACACACACACCCACGCACACACACACACACACACCCACGCACACACACACACACACACACACGCGCGCGAACACACATTGGGCCAACACACGTCCCGAGGACCGACGACCCCTGCCCCCTCCCCACCCTCGCGCCCCCCCTGCAAGCCGCACACCAGAGGCCACCAATTAGGGGCCAGGCGCGCCACGCGGCTCTTTCGCGCCATGGCTCTCGAGCCTCCGGCGGCCCTTCGCGGAGATCCTGGCACCCTCGGGTGAGGGAGAGCCTCAGGAGGGGGAGGAGGAGGAGGAGGAGGAGGAGGAGGAGGAGGAGGAGGAGGAGGAGGAGGAGGAGGAGCATCCCGAGGCAGGAGAACCTCCAGGGTCTGGCGAGGGCGCCCCCCGGAGCGACGGGCACGCCCGAGAGCACCCGAGAACTGGCGGAGGGCCGCTCTTCCAAGGCCGCCGAGGTGGTCTTGAATCCGCGGCCCCATGAGCTCCCGACCTCTCGCCTGGATATACACTCTAGGCGATGCTTAAGACAACCCAAGTTTTCGGCCAGGGTCTCGATGATTCTTAAGGTTTGAGTGTAACTCCTAAGATTTGAATAGACATTCTGGGTTTGTATTCAAATTCCGAGACTATGAATTTCTTAACCCATGATTTCTAAAGCATTTCGCAGGGTGTAGAATGTTGTCGTCTCTGACCCGTGTTTGCGGGCCCCAAGGCCCGATAAGAAGTCCCCGAGGGCCGGAACCGGGCAACACCCGCAAGGTTCACAGCAAGCAACTCGTCGGAGATCTGGGCCTCGTGCAGCCGATCCGAGGGGATCCCAAAGATACGGATGCCGCTGCTCCCGGGACCTCTCCAGGGGGTGCACTCTCACCCGGATCTCGGAGCGAGTCCGGCCCGTGGCGAGGAAGGCCTCCCGGGAGGCCCCAGAGCGCGAGATGGAAAGAAATGCAGTGCCTTCTGCCCCGTTCTCCCTGGTGCGCAATCCCGCTGGAGGGCTCTCAGCAGAAGTGGGACAAGACCACAGATGAGCTCCGCAAGGGGGGTCTGGGGGGAGCCCGACACCGCCCGGCCCGGCAGCGGTCTGGCGGCGGCTTCGCCCGCGACCTTCTCAGGCTGTTCAGGGATCGTGCTCTCGCCCCCGTGGCGGCGGCATGACTGGTCTTGACGCCCGCGATCCCAAGAGAAGAGCACTGCATCTCGCCCTCTAAGGACCCCCCAAGGAGCACTCAGGAGCGCACCCTCTTTGCACTCGCCGACCTCCCCCTCCTCGACCCGCCTCGGCCCCCTCCTGCTGCCACCGGGGTGCTTGGCGGGGGCGGGCGCTATACCCGCCCCGAGAGGGCAACCCACCTCGTGGGGGACGAATGGGCGCTCCAGATTTCGTAATAAAAGGGAGGGGGTCCCAACCCTCCCAGACGAGAAGTTTAAGAGCCCCCCAGACCATCCATGAAAGGGCGGCCCTTTGCCCAGAACCCCCCCCAACCCTCCAAGACAACTCAAATCAGACCCCCTCCCAATTAATGTGACCCCCCCGCCTTTATTATGGAATACGGGGTAGGATGGCGTAGGGGAAGGTAGGGAACCGGCTCACGCAGCGGGTGCTCCTGACGCCTCCCGGCGCCCACGCGGGGGGGGTAATGAGCCCGGCGGCGGGGCCGAAAACGGCTGCACGCAGCAGCCTTCGCAGCCCCCTCTTTCCCTTGGGCGCGACTTCATGGAGGGGGCGATGCACGTCGTTCATTTCCAATCGTGCTCATTTCGAAGTGTGCTCGTTTCTAACTGTTCCTGGCCCCCTAGTGGCCAGGAAGAGGCCCAGGATAGAACGATTAGACATGAGAGGATCTTGCCCCCCAACAAGATCAAACAACTTTCGCAGAATCAGAAGGGAGCAATGTGTACTGCAGGTTCGTGCCGTGTCGACCCTGGCGTAGGTTCCTGACACCGCGCTGGATCGTTCAACTTTGAACGATCGGCCGTCTCCGCAACGTCCGATCGTTCAACATCGACCGATTCTGGGCCGCCGTCGGCGTTCAACATTGAACGTCGGCGGCGGGGTCGCCGCCGGTCGACACGACGCGAACCTACCGTACATGGGGGCGGGCAGCGAGGGCTGCCAACAAGGGGCCCTTTAGGGCCCGAGAGAGGGCCTCCAGGGTCCGAGAAGGGCACCTCTCTTCCCCGCCCCACCATCCATCGCCCCTTGAACGAAGGATTGCAACAAAAACCTTGGTTTTTGTTGCAATCCTTCGTTTTTTGTTGCAATCCCCTTGTTGCAATCCTTGGTTTTTGTTGCAATCCTGGTTTTTGTTGCAATCCTTCGGTTTTTGTTGCAATCCTTCGGTTTTTGTTGCAATCATCAGTTCGCGCCCGATTTCCCGCCACGGGGGCCATCAGAGCACGGCCATCGCGACGAACATCTGGCCTCGGGGGACTGCCGCAGCCGGGTCGAGACCGGGGGGGGGGGGGGAAAAATGAGAAGGGGCGGCCCTTCTCAGAAGGCTCGGAAGCCCCCCGTCCTTCTGAGAAGCTCCCAGACCTAAGACCAGGCCAGGACGAGGATTGACTGCGACGAGGATCAATCGAGAACCTCTGAGCCTCTGAGATCCCGCGGCTCTGGAGGATGTATCGGGCGCCGCGGCCTTCTCAGGGCGTTCTGGAACGCGCTGAACGCGCTGAAAGCGTTCTGGGACGCTCTGGAACGGATTTCTCCTCGTCCTAGCGCCGCCCGAAAACCTCTCTTTCCTCATCCTGCCCTTTCGTCCGGCTCGCCCATCCTGTTCTTGGCCAGGAGGCGAGGGCAGCGAAGGCTGCCAACAAGGGGCCCTCTGGCGCCCCAGAGGGGGCCCGTGGGGTCCGAGAAGGGCACCTCTCTTCCCCCCCCTCATGTTTCGCCCCCCCCCCCCCCCACTAACTCGCGCCCAAGATTCGGCGGTGGACAAACCTTCCTTGAACAAACCTCCCTTTAGTGACAACGGCCTAGGACCGAAGCCGACGGACCTGGACCCGCAAAAAGGACGGCGGCCAGCGCCCTCTCGCGAACCGAAAATGGCCAATTCGCTGATCGACGCGTCAGGGCAGGAGGCCGATCAACCTCCGAAAGGTTCCCCATCCTGCCCCTGGCCATCGCTCGGACGTCCATTCCCTGTGCCTTTCTCGGCTTCGCGCGTGGTTATTTTTTTCGCAGGGTGATCCAGGATGCTCCTCGACAGTCCCCGCCGAGCAACAGTGCACACGCCCGAGCGACACCGAGGGCCCCCTCTAAAACGACGCGAAGATCGGGACAAAACCGGATCGGGATGACTCGAAATCTCGGAGAATCGGCGGGTTTGGAGGATGTATCGGGCGCCGCGGCCGCTCCAGAGCGTTCCGGAACGCTCTGAGAGCGCTCCGGAACGCTCTGGAGCGATTCATCGAGCCTGTTCTTTTTTATTCAGGCAAGTTTACTTGCATGGCGTTCGCCCCCCCCCCCCCACCCCCCCCCCCTCGCCCCTCTTCAAGCGAATACTAGCGTGCAAGTGCCTTTCGACTTGCGTGATTTCCGCGCACCCCCCCCCGGCTTGCTTCAGCTCAGCATGCAAGTAAACTTGCCAGAGTCTAAAAAAAAAGGCTCCTAGCCCTGTTTTACCCCCGTCCGGCCCGCCCGTCCGGTTCTTGGCCAGGAACGCCCCGCGGCCCGCCCCCCGCGGCACGCCGGCGGCCAGCGGCGCCGAGGCCGCCAGGAGCAGCGCCCGCCTCGGCGCGGCGGCGGCCGGGCGCGGCGCGCGGCGGGCGGGGCCCATGGCGCCGGGCCCGGGCGGCGCGGAGGCCCGAGCCGAAACAAAACAAAAAATGGCTGCGGGAGCGGGCCGAGTGGAGTCGGGGCTCGGGTGCGGTGGGGGCCTCCTCGTCCTCGCTGGACGCGGAGCGGGCTCTCCACACAGAGTGCAGCGTCTGCATGCTCGTCCTCCTCCTCCTCCTCCTCCTCCTCCTCCTCCTCCTCCTCCTCCTCCTCCTAGATCCCCCCCCTCCTCCGCACGGCGGTGGCCGGAGCCGAAAACTGGAAACGTGCGCCATCAGACTGCTGCAGCGAGGTTCGAGGGTCGAGCTTCGAGGATCGATTCTGCCAGAACGGCGCTCCGCCAGAAGGTTCCACTGATAGTGGAACAGCAAGGAGAGTCCCACCAGCCCTCTGGGCGTAGGTGGTCTAGAGTGTTTCCTCTGCTTCTCCGTCGGGGCTCATGTCGCGCGCTGAACGTCTAGCCGCCCACGATATCAGATGAGCGACGGGCGTCGGACGCGACGCACTTGCTTCTGTGGGCGCAGCTCCCTGGCTCGCTCGGGCTGGCTAACCTGATCACTGCTCCCTAGCAATAAACGCCCCGTCCCCCAGGCGACTGGGGGCCAACCCGAGTCCATGCCGACACCCCCCTCACAATCCCTTGCAAAAAACAATACGAAACGCACTCTGCCTCCAAATTCGGAACATGCGCAGCCAACCCGATGCGCCCCCCCCCCCCCCCATCCCTCAAAAAACAATACAGGGTACACTTGGCGGAGGCGGCGGCGGCTGCGGCGGCGGCTGCGGCGGCGGCGGCGGCGGCGGCGGAGGCGGCGGCGGCGGATTGGCCCCCAGTAGCTGCCCATCCAAAGACGACTGCTGAATATGCTGAGGCTCGGGCCAGACTCGGGTGCTACGTATGTGTTGGGAGGGCGGGTGGGAGTGAGCGAGACGGCTTGCGGGCGTGGAGGGAGTCTTGACCCCTCCCCCTACCCCCTCCCCTGGACCTGGACGGGGGGTTCCGCGACGCGTTCGAGCGTCCAAAACGGCCTCGGCGAGAAAGCCAACATCATTGGTTGTACTCGGGTTTTGGCGCCTCATTTTGGCCTCCTGAGGGGGGAGGGGGGGGGCTAATTTAGCACCCCCCTCCTGTGATCTATCTCCTCCAAGATGGCCCCAAGAGGCGCCCAGGAGGCCCCAAGAGGCCCCGAGATGGCCCCAAGATGGCCCCATGTGGCCCCAAGAAGCCCCCAAGAGGCCCCCAGGATGCCCCTAAGAGGCTCCCAAGAGACTCCCAAGAGGCCCAACAGTTTCACGGATTGAGTGCGGTTCCGTTTCAACATGTGGCTCTCGCTTTAGCGCGGCGCACATTCGTTTGGAACATTTGCACAAAAGTTTCACGGATTGAGGGCGGGTCGTTTTCAAAAAAAGCAAGAGTTTCACGGATTGCCATCATCAACGTACCAGAAATGGCGTTTCGGAAGGATTCAGGACTATGCGGGTGCAGCAATTACTTTGATTCTCTGTGTTGAGGTCGTGGGAATGACGTTCTGGCACGATCCAGGATCTTCAAGACGCAACAATGAGGCTGATCCGTGGCGTTGGAATCCCGAGAACAATGTTTTGGCATGCTGCGGGGTCTTCAAACGAGTGCCTTCCAACGAGGCAGTTCCATCAATGGAAATGAAACGCTGTAGAGGCATATGAAGAGGGAGCTTGGAGGGAGGGTTTATCCAACATCGTTGACGACTCTTGGGTTTACACTGGTCCTCCTCATCCTCCTGATCGTTCCCGCCATCCTCCCCCAAGTGTTCCTCGAATGGTTTCCACAACGGCTGGGAGAGCACATGGTCCGATAGCTTGGCAGAGCTATTGCCACAACGCTCGGCCACATGGGCAATTCCAAAAGGCAGGGGGTGGCGGTGATTCGACGTAAGCGTCTTCGATCATTTTCCGACGGTCCCAAGGCCTTGCAAAGGGCTCCCAGAGACGGAAAAATGTTCAGAACTGCACGTCGCGTGCTTGTTCGCAACGAGAGGGGGGTGGTCACTCTGGCGAAGGGTCACTCTTCCCAGATCCCCGACGTCATGATTCGCTCATAGCGTCCACCCCCGACGGTGTCGACCCACTCCCCCCGGACCAGTTCCTCATACAGGGCCTCCAGAGGCCGAACAAAGCCGAAAACCTGCCGCCGCGATTTTTCTCCCTGTCCTACGCGTGGCCGACCCCCAGACAAAAACCACGGCGCGGACAGCCGCGGCGTGGGCGACGCCATGCTGCACGACGTGCCCTCGGGGCCAATCGGCGGCGGCGGCGTAAAGCCAGGCACGGGGCACGCCGTGCCGGGGAGGGGGCCTCGTCCCCGCCCGTCGACGCCCGCGCGCCCTCGCCCTAGCCCCCGCCCCTCCTCGCCCTCGACGCCCTCGCCCCCGACGCCCTCGACGCCCCCGTCGCCCCTCCTCGCCCTCGACGCCCTCGCCCTTCCTCGCCCGCGACGCCCCCCCTCGCCCTCGATGCCCTCGCCCGTCGCCCCTCCTCAGATCCGCCTCAGCCACGGCCGCCATGCGCGGCACCCCGGCGCGCGCGCGGGGGCCGCGGGCGGCGCGCCCGCCGCCGCCGCGGCGCGGCGGCCGCCGGGCAGGCTCGAGCCTGCACGCGCGCGCCCCGGGTCGCTCGCTGGGGCTCTCCGTCTTCGGAGGCCTGGAAATTGGCATCAACACCAACACAGGGGGGTTGCCTCCACAGGGGGAAAATGATCCTAGATATTTCGGTGTTGGTAGCAATATTTCGGCCACCCTGGAAGCCAGAATGTTGCCACCATCACCGAGATCGGGATCTTCTTCCCTCGGTGGAGGCACACCGAAGAGATTGGTGTTGGTGTCAACCTCTAGGCCTGCGACTTCTTTCTCGTCCGCCCCGCCTGCTCTGCCTGCTCCTAGCCCTCCTGCTCCTCCCCCAGACGTGCGCCTCTCGATCCGCCGGCCTCCCCCTAATTATGTAGAGAGCCGTCGCAGATCACAGAGAAAGAGACCTGCGCTCCCAAGGCACGACCCCGCATTCGGGACTCACAGATGAGCTGCGCTCTCAGAGCAAGGAGCTCCCGCAATCTACAAAAAAGGGTGCCCGTGCTTCCAGGGCCGTGGACGATGCTTTGCCATTCGCGGCGCTGGACCCGTGCTCCAGAGGCCATGGCCAGCTGGCAGATGCTGCAGGCCCGACCCCGCGAGGCCACGACCCTTTACACAGAGTGCACTGGGCTCGCGCTCCCGACAGGGCTCCGACCTCTGGTCAGAGCGAGGGCGGCCGAGCGCCCTCACGTTCATTCCCGACCCTGGACGAGGAGAAGGAGGAGGAGGAGGAGGAGGAGGAGAAGAAGAAGAAGGAGAAGGAAGATGAGGACGAGGACGAGGACGACGACCAGAGTCCCTGGGTGCCTAGCTCAAGTGGCACGTCGACCAAGAAAAGGGGCACCGCCCCTGCAGAAGATCGGTGCGGCCCCGGGGGCTCGGAATCGCCTTTGCGGTACCGCTGCTCGGGGGCCCAGAAAGGCGCCACCCCTCCTCCGGATCCGGCTCACCCTCCGGGCGCAGTCTCCCTCCGAAGAGATCCAGCGCACTGAAAAAATCACGACGGATGTTTTTCGCCGACTTGGGCCTCTAGAGGCCCTCGCCGGGCCCCCAGACAATCATTGAACAACGACTCAGGATGAAAAGCTGGTCCCAGGGAGTGGGTCGAGACTTCTGGGGACCCCGTACTGCAAAAAATCAAAACCCTCGGATGCCCGAAAAGTGGGACCACGCGGTGTGGACTGACGCTGCCATTGCCATCCTTCTGGCCGTCGTCGCCCGCCTCGCGACCCAGCCGCGAACCAGGGGCATGATCGGTCGGCATCGAATCGAGAGGTCGGATCGGACCGGAACGTGCGTCGGATCGGGCCGCACCCGCACGGAGACGGAATCGGAGCGGACCCGCGGCGCCGGGACTTGCAGCAGCGCCGCGCCAGCATCGGGCCGCGTCGGGCCGTCGGCATGAGCATCGGAATCGAATCGCATCAGGGCGGGCGGGGAAGGAGGAGGAGGAGGAGAAGGAGGAGGAAAAGGAAGAGGAGGAGGAGGAGGAGGAAGAGGAGGAGGAGGAGGAGGAGGAGGAGGAGGAGGAGGAAGAGGAGGACGAGGAGGAGGAGGAAGAGGAGGAGGAGGAAGAGGAGGAGGAGGAGGTGGCGGGGAAGGAGGAGGAGAGGGAAGGAGGAGGGAGAGGAGGAAAAGAAGGAGGAGGAGGAGGAAAAGGAGGGAGAAGAAGAAGTAGAAGAACACGAAGAGAGAGGAGGAGGATGAGGAGGAGGAAGACGAGGAGGAGGAGGCGGAGGAGGAGGAGGAGGAGGAGGAGGCGGAGGAGGAGGGGGAGGAAGCGGGATCGGATCCATGCCGATCGGATCGAAATCGGCCGCCGAGGAGGGGGGCCGCGGCGCGGTCCCAGCTTCTGCTGTGTGGTGTACAGATAGAGCACGGCGTCCGCGTTGGTGTCGAACTGCCCTCTCGCCGGGGGGGGGGGAAGAGCGGAGCGGCCACTTTCTGTGGCAGGAGCTGAGGGGGACTGGGGACTCGGGGGAGACACCCGGGGGCTGGGGCGGGGCGTCTGCTGCAGCAGACGCCCCGGCTACTGGCGATATCCGTACCAGGTCCCCGCGTGCACGCTTAGCTCAATGCGATGTAGCCTCCCCCGTTTTTGTCGGGCCAAACCTTGCGGTTTGACTGGGCATCTGTCTGACTGTCTGTCTGTCTGTCTGCCTGTCTGTCTGTCGCTGCGTGACACACTTACATACGGTTGGGACACTTTGCTTACCGTGTCACGGCGGCGGCCCCAGCGACACGCTGTGCCTTGCGAGCGGATGGCGTGTCGCTCCGCTCCGCGGGGCCGTAGCCTGGGAAGAGCTCGAGACGTTGACGCCTTGGGACCAGGACGTGGTTAGCGTGTCGCGCCGAAGCGTGGCGAGGCAGCGCGATACGCCAAGCCAAAGTTCTCCGCCGTATCACACACACACGGTACCCGCCCTCTCCTCTTTCGGCGCACCCGACCCTCAGAAGGCAAGCGCCAATGGCGGCACGGAGCACAGCATCGGAGAATCTCTCCGTGCTCACATGCACGGGCCTCCCAGGCCGCGCCGCCTTGCCCCATCTTCTCGCTTCCCCTCTGGGGGGCCCGTGGAAAGGAGGAGGAGTTTCCTCGGAGCGTCCTGAAACCCAGAAAACGGTGGGCAAGGAGGAGGAGGAGGAGGAATAGGAGGAGGAGGAGGAGGAGGAGGAGGAGGAGGAGGAGGAGGAGGAGGATTGGGGAGGAGGAGGAGGAGGAGGAGGAGGAGGAGGAGGACGAGGAGGAGGAGGAGGACCAGTGTAAATCCAAGAGGCATCAACGATGTTGGAATACACCCTTCCTCCAAACTCCCTCTTCACAGGCCCCTACAACGGTTCATTTCTACTGAGGGAATTGCCTAATTGGAAGACAACTGTTTGTGATTCTCGGGATCCATCGCCACGGATCAACCCGACTGCTGCGCCATGACGATCCTGAATCGCGCCAGACCGCCATTCCTGGGACTTGAGTACCGCGAGTCAACATAACTTGTGCACCTCATAAGCCTGAATCCTTCCCAAACACCATTCCTGGTACACTGATCATGGGAAACCGTGAGACTCTTACAAACAGTTAAAACGAATGTGCCGGGCGCTAAGGCGAGAACCACATGTTGAAAAGGAACCGCCTTCAATCGGTGAAACTCTTGCAGTGTTTCAAAAAGAATATGCGCGACGCTAAGGCGAGAACCACACGTTGAAAAGGAGCCGCCCTCAACCCGTGCAACTTTTGCAAATGTATAAAACGATTGAGCGCGGCGCTGAAGCGAGAGCCACATTTTGAAAACGACTTGCCCACAATCCGTGAAACTGCTGCATATGTTTTAAGATGAGTGTGCGCGGCGGTAAGGCGAGAGCCACATTTTGAAAACCGCTCGCCCACAATCAGTAAAACTCTTGCAAATCTTTAAGGCGAATGTGCGCGGCACTAAGGCGAGAGCCACATGTTGAAAACCACCCGCCCTCCATCTGTGAAGAGTTCCCATGTTTTAAGCATCAGAGTCATATACGGTGAGGATATATCAGGCGAAACGCCCGGCCTGCCCTAAAAAAAACTGGCTCCGGGGTGCGACAGGGAGACAGTATTTACAAGGAGAAGGAATGGAGGGAGGAGGAGGAATCGGAGGAGTGGGGAGGAGGAGAAGGAGGAGGCGGAGGAAGAGGGAGAAAAGCGAAAGGATGAGGGAGGATAAGTAGAGGAACAACACAATCGCATAGACATACTTCTCCGAACAGGTGCGTTTATGCCGTTGGTTCATCGAAGAAGGGACGGAGAAAGGGGGCGAGGAGGAGAAGGAGGAGGAGGGACGAGAGAGGAGGAGAAAGAGGAGGAGGAACGAAGAAGAAGAGGAGGCGGAGGACGACCGCACGAGCGATTCTGTAGAGGCGCGTCAAGGGCCCGCTGCGCCGTCAGCCACGCCGGGCCAATGAACTAACCACGCGTGGCACCGGATGTGCGCTTGCTCCTTGCTCCCATCCACCACCGTACCTCGGCTGGACGGCCACGCGCTGCAAAGCAGGAGGAGGAGGAGGAGTGTGCGGCCTTTCGCCTGTCGCTGGCACGCTGCCATGCTCTGCAGGGCGCGCCGCGGACCACCGACCTCCTCGTTCGGTTCCTCGCCTCCCGCCGCAGCCCCTGCCGATCCCTTCCCGTGCCCGGCTCCTGGCGAACTATCCTCCCGCCCCCCTTCTCACCTGCACGGCTCACACCGTGGACCCCCCCCGGACCCTCCCCCCGAGCCCAGGGCACGGAACCGGCTGAGGCACATCGGACGAGGCTCCCGTGCAGGTCTGGCTGTCGCGCCTCGAGACCTGATGTCACACGAGTGCAGCACCGTACTGGCGGAGGACACGACCTGTCTGTGACTGCCTGCCGCCGCTCCGTACCCTGCATGTCCCTACGTAGGCATCGTGCCATTTTCCACTGGGGATGACGCGTGTCAGGGGAGGGTCGGCGAGGGGGCGGGGGTGTAACGGCGGCCGGCGTGCACGCCCGAAGGCGTGCCCGCAACACCAGCGCAACAACCGCCAGTGTGCACCACACTGAACGTGTTTGCGAGAACGCTTGCATGCAACACAGCGCCTGCGTGCACCACGTTGCCCCTGTTCACCCCAACACCTGCGCGCACCATGGCGCCACATCACCTCTGCAAAACACAGCGCCTCTGTGCACCTCAGCACCCGCGTGCGCAACCGCCCCATTGCACACCACAGTGCCTGCGTGCACCGGATCATCTGTATAGCATGGCGCCTGCGCACATCGCAGCAGCCGTGTGCACCACACCGTGGCCGTACGCCGCAGTACCTGCGTGCACCACGACGACGGCAACGACGACGACGACGACGACGACGAACACGACGGCGACGACGACGCCGACGACACCAACGACGACGACGACGACGACAATGCCTGTGCACCTTCGGAAGCCTCTGGGTCACGTCAATCGTCATCGCCATCGTCCTCCTCTTCCTCCTCCTTCTCCTCCTCCTCCTCCGCCTCCTCCTCCTCCTCCTCCTCCTCCTCCTCCTCCTCCTGCTCCTCGCGTCCTCCTACTCCTCCTCCTCCTCCTCCTCCTCCTCCTCATCCCCCTCCCCCTTCTCCTCATGAAGGACCCTTAGAAACTCCGATGGGAACTACAAACGATTTACGACTGTGGCAGGTTAGCACCACCGTCGCAAGGGGCAGGTTTGGGGGGGGGGGATAACGCGCGCTATCCCCGAAATCTGCACAAGAACAGCCCCGTGCAGGCCGCCTCGCTGCGACCGGCAACGCCGACGGAAGCACGATAGGGGCCTCTCCGACCACGGCGAGCCTCGGCCGCGAATGGGCGCCCCGACCTGGATCCGAGGGACGGCCCAGACACCAGACCCTAACCAGCCTCGAACTTACCCCTATCCCTAAGATGGACGAGGAAAAAGCGAGGACAATCTTAGGGATCTGCTCTCAGAAACCGAGGGAACCCTTGAGATCGGCATCGAGGTGAGGTGATGCCAAACACAGGGATGGGGATATGTTTTAAACTGGTAAGACCCCTGCTGAACACAAAACGGTCCTTTGTCGAGCGTCTTGACTGTGCACCTTGGGGCAACGAAATCGGTACATGTCCACTGCTCCCTGGCCAAGGCCATCCTGAACCAAGCAGCGGTGTACACGCCACGCCCTCCTGGCTTGGAAAGGAGGGCGTATACACAGCTCATGGGTTCAGGATGGGCCTGGCCAGGGAGCTGTGGACATGTATAGATTCGTCGCCCGAACACCGTGTCTGCCGTTGTATCAATTTGCGTGCGTTCGGGAGGTTTTGCTTGCCGTGTCGCGGCGGCGGCCCCGGCGTCGCGCTGTGCCCTGCAAGCGGATAGCGTAACGCTCCGCTCCGCGGGGCGGGGTGCTCGGAAAAGCGTTGATGCTCGGGGACCGGGACGTGGTTGGCGTATCGAACCGAGGCGTGGTGGGCCAGAACCCACGGCACGACATGCTAAGCAAACGAAGCTAACCGAAATCACTCTGCACCGTGCCTAGAATCTCGTCCTGCGCTTTCGCGTTCAGCTCAAACGGCTCCCCGTCGGTGTCTTCGAGGTGGTGCAGCCACTCGATCAGCGAATCGCGGGCCTGACTGAGATGCAGACCAAAGGCGCGATTCGTCCAGCCGGTTAACAGAAGGCCGCATCGTCGCCATCCAATACAATCAAAATCCACGTTGCCAATATTTCAAGCCATTCCACATATGCAGTGCTACCGTCATTCCATGCTCAACACTCGTACTAAGTGCTCATGCTTCGTTGCGGAGGTGACTCGTATCGATGTGCATGCCGAGTCATGCTTTCCTGGAACTCCCATATAGAGCTCACGTTGGATGCACCATGCAATGTGAACTCACAAGGCGATCTGGACTGAAATGTAGCTGTACTGTGCTTCTGGTAGTCCGTGCAAACGGTACACACTTCGCATCAGAGGTTGGAGCCGAGCGTAATACCTCACGCATGGTGAGAGCGAGCTGGGACGGCCAATCATAATGCCCCGAAGACGACCACGCCCTAGGAGAACTGCGCCACATCAAGGGGACATATCGCGCTAAGAAGCACCGAGCCCGCAGCCTCCTTCTTCGAGATGAAATCCTCCCCTGTTCCGTCACCGCTAACGCCCAAACATAGAACCATCCGCGAGTCTGCAAATCGGTGTCGCCCCCCTCTGATACGCATGCTAGCGCTCGAGCTGAATTTGGGCCAGGGCCAGTCGCCCTCAGGTGACTTGGTCTAGCCCGGAGCGGCGCCCAGTCCATCAACCCAAAATCCTGCGCCACGGCTGACCCCACGCCAGGACTGCTCCAGGTCTCCAGCTCACCAGAACCACTCCAGGAACGCTACAGTCAACACTGGGAGTAAGGATACGCGAAAAAGATGCAAGCCCCGTGGACGCCTGCCTTGAAGCTTCTTCGAGCACGGCGGGCCACCGAAAGCGGTCAAGGATGGGCCGCAAAGACACGGACGCAAGGGACCCCCCAGAAAGGCTGACCATCCTGGCCATCGGTTTCGACTGCACACCGTGGCTTCGCAGACCATCGACTCCTCCTCCTCCTACTCCTGCTCCTCCTCCTCCTCCTCCTCGGCCTCCTCGTCCTCCTTCTCCTCCTCCTGCTCCTGCTCCTCCTCCTCCTCATCCTCCTCGTCGTCCCCCCCTCCTCAGCCGCACCCGTACAAGGTCCAGATCGAGGGGCGAGGGCCGCTCCCGCCCGGACGTGCGCAGGGCAGGCTGCGGCGCGGCAGTGCTCGCAGGCGCCACGGCGGGGCGGAGCTGCCCATGTTCCCCCTCCTTCTGTTCCTCCTCCTCCTCCTCCTCCTCCTCCTCCTCCTGCGCCTCCTCTTCCCCCATCCTCCTGTTCCTGCCCCCCCCCCAGACCCTTTCCTCCCTGCGGCCCTCTCAGGGGCCGCGCTGGGGCTCTCGTGTCCCCCCTCCTCCTGCTCCTCCTACGTCCCTCCTCTCACCTCGTCCAGCTTCCTCTCTTCTCTGCCTACGCCTACCTCTTCTTCCCTCCCTCCCCCATTATCGATCCCCCCCCTCTTCCTACTCTCCCCGTCATTCACCGCCTCCTCCCAATCATGCCCCTCACCCCCGAATTCCCCTCCTACACACTGCAAGTGTTCCTCCGCTCTCTTCTCCTTCTTCCGTCACTCTGCTCATGCCACTCATCCTCTTGCCCGTCCTCTTGCTTTTCCTCCTGCCTCCCTACCGACCCTTGGTTCACATTGACCTCATGTTGGCCACGTGACCTTAGCGCCTGAGACCACACGCAGCCACGATCACACAATGCGGACAGCATCGGCACTCAGGTGAGCGGCGGTGCGGCGGCTGAATCGAAAAGCGGCAGGCGAATAACCAGTGGGCCCTGACCGTGCCGGGCCCACGGGTTCACAGATACACCTGCGCACGGAGCTCCCGCCCTCCTCCTGATCCCGCTGCTGCTCCTCCTCCTCCTCTCCGTTGTATTCCTCCTGCTCCTCCTGCTCCCACTATGGTGTGCGTTTTCCTTCCTTGATCATCCATCCTCTCCCGCGCACGGCTCTTCTATATATATATATACACACAAGATTTGAGGGCTCGCTTCGCTTCGCCTCAATCTTGGTCGCGCGGCCATGCGCACCCAAACACTCGGTGAATGGATGACGTCTGCAAGCACATGATGACCGTGAGAGGGGTGGCGGTCCGTCATAATGCCCGGACGAGTCATAAACATTCCTGTGTTTGGGAGACGGCGACATACCGCGACGAGGCCATAGTCACCGATGAGGGGTTAGATGAAACGGTGACCACGAGGGGGGTCGCGGTCACCTCCGCAAAGACGCACCCGAAACTTGTCTCTGGACGTCCCCCGGGCCAAACAGACTGCATGCTGCATGGTCGTCGCGCTTCTCTTGGGAATCAGTAGCCCTCTGAAAGGGCAGGGCATTGCAGTGAGACGATCGGGAAAGAAGAGAAGGAAATGATATGAAGGGAAGAAGAGGAGAGGAAGGCGAGGAAAAAGGGAGAGAGACGGTCGGGGAAGGTGAGGAGGAAAGGAGGAGGGAGAGAGAGAGAGAGAGAGGAGAGGACAGAGGGGGAGGAGGATGACACGAGGAGGGCGAGATAGGACGAGGAGGGAGTCAGAACAGGAGGAAGAGGAAAAGGATAAACTGGGAAAGGGACGAGGGAACGAGTGGGGGGTTGCGATGTGCAAAACTGTCGCTACCTTCGTGGGCCGCTGGCGGGTCCAGCGGAGAGGCGTGATCCGCGGACCAGAATGAGGCCTCGCCGTCACAGCGAAGCTGTCGCCACGTTCGTGGCCCCCTCGTCATTGCTCCTTCGTCAGATCGTGATCGCCCTCTTTCCGATGATATGAGTCGCAAGAGTGATGCCGTGAATGGGGAACACTGGTCTGCGGCCTCACGTTCTTTGGCGAAGCGTTCAAGGATACTGCGAATCCTTCAAGGCGTAAGTTGGAAATGAACGGTCCTGGGTATAGTCGCCTCTTGTGTACAAAGGGTTGGGTGCGTCTCTGGGTCAGTTGTTTCCGGAGGGTCTCTTGGGAACCCCGGGGAAGCTATCCTTGGGCGTTTCTGGGACCTGTTGGGCCTTGATTGGGGCACCCTAAGCTCGAAGACGGCCCAAAAGCGCGTCAGGAAGCCCATTCGTTGCCTCTCCTTGTCAGAAGCCTCGCGATCGCCAGGAGTGGCTCGGGGCGTCCGGGGAGGGGACTCTTGGAAGCTTTTTGGGGCGTCCTGGGGGCCTCATGGGAGCTTTTTGGGGGCCGCCTGGGGGCCTCTTGGGGGCCGCGTAAGGGCCTCTTGGGGCCCCGTGGGCCCTCTTGGGGGCCTCTGGGGGCATCCTATGGGCCTCTTGAAGCCGAAGGCTTGAAATTTGAACTTGGTTTTCGTTTTCTGGGACGCCTGTGCGGCCCGTCCAGATGGTCTCTTGGGCTGTCTTGGGGGCCCTTGGGGCACTCCTGGGCTCTCTTTGGGTGTCTGGGGGCCTTCTTGGGAGCCTCTTGGGCCGTCTTGGGAGTCTCTTGGGCCGACTTGGACGTTATGAAAGGCCTAGAGGCGAATATGTTGAGAATGTACTTTTTACTATGGGAATGGGGCTATTTTGGCCTCGCGGGGCCCTTTTGGGGGGCCTTTTGGGTGCCTCTTGGGCCGTCTTGGGTCGCCTCGGGGCGGTCGCGGTGTCATCTGAGGCATCTTGGGCCGGTGTCCTCGGGCGTCTTGGGCCGCTGGGGGGCCAGTAAGAGCGTTTCGCGCATCGTTCGGTGACCTGGAGGGCTTGGGAAGTCCGCTGGAAAGGGGCCCGGGGGCCAAGGGCGGCCGTCCAAGAATGTATGTGGGGGGGGGGGGCCATCCGGGGGGGATTTTTCCTTACAGGATGTATAATTATAGGAATATATATATATATATATATATATATATATATATTCTTTCCTCATCGATCCATGCTTTCCGAACCGTCCCCCTCATCATCCATCCTCCGGGTCCTCCGGAGTTTCTATGAGCTCGCTGTGTGACAGGCGGCTGCTATGTTCTCTGTGCGTGACGCGACCATCTCTTGGTGGTCCCCAAACGTGGTGGTGAGAACACCCGGTGGTGAGTTTTGGGCGATTTGGGTAATGGTTTTCGAGCGCTGGCTTGCCCAGGAAACGCAAAACCTCGTGGCGACCGCGTGTCCCTAAACCCAGTGGTGACCCAAAATTATTTGTTGGGGGATTCGGGGTCACCACCCGGTGTCTCACCACCTGGTTTGGCGACCACCAAATCTCACGAGCAGTGCACCACACCCGGTAAATGTCACGGGCGGTGCTACACAACACGCAGAGCTATCTTCAGGGTAACCAGCAATGGCACGTGAAGGGGGTGCACCCTTCCGAGAACAAGCAGATTTCGAGCTTCGGACGCGGGCGTATGCGTGATCATTTTTGTTAGCCTGACGTTCATCTTCCCTCCCTATTCCCCATTCTCTCCTCCTTTCCCCTCGTGCTGCGTTCTGTCCCAGCCTCTCGTGATCATGACGATTCAGATCAACACGACAATGGTCACCATCACAACGATCATGACCACCGTCAGCATGATCACCACCATTCGAATCATCCTGCTGATGCTCCTCGTCCCCCCACTCCTGGTCCTCCTCCTCCTCCTTCCCTCTCCTCCTCCCCCCTTCTCCTCCCCTCTCCTCTTTCCTCCCTTCCCCGCGCCCGCTCCAAAGCAACAAACAAGAGGGCTCTCGTCGCCGTCGTCGCACTCCTCCTGCTCCTGCTCCTGCTCCTGCTCCTCCTCATGCAACAGTGGACGAGGCAAGAACGCCAACATAGATTTTCCCACCTCGGCAACCTGTCGCTCTGCGGCCAGGCGGCGACATGACGCCCGAATGGGCCGGCGGCCGAGCGGGTTCAGGCAGGCGACGGCAGATGGCATGTGTACACCCGTGGACATTTGCCACGATATTTCTGACTAGATGGCGGGGCCAGTCAGGGGGCCTGGACTGCAGCATGCAAGGCAGAACAGCACATGCAGACCGGCCAGCTGCCTCCATGCTGCCGACTGAACGCAGCAGAGGGGCACAGACGCAGCTGCCGGAAAGGGTGCGACACTGAGACAGACTGTTCGAGGCTGCACCCAGACACAACCAGGCAGCACGACAGAAACAGGCCATAGGCCTGAGGCGGAACGGCGCGGGGCCTACCGCGGCGGACGGCAGACGAGGAGGCCGCGCGAGCGACACGCGGGGAGGGCACCGAGCTGCAAAGAACGCCAAACTAACCTTCCTCGGCGAGCGTGCGCTCTGCGCCCCGCTGGTCTCAGCAGGACAGCTTTGCAGGCGCCCGCGACCGCGCGGCGCGCTCGAGGCCCAAGCTGGGTCGCAGCCGGGCGACTCGGCGCGCCGCGGTTGGGGGAGGGAAGCGGGCGGCGCGGCCACCGACCCACGGCGGAAGGCGCGCTCAGGCGCGCTCAGCGATCGCATCGTCACTGAAGACGCGGGCGGCGCACCCGCAAACTGCGTCGCCCCACGTGCTCGGGGCCAGCCCGGCTGCGAGCATTTCGAGGCTGGCACTCTGGGAACCCCGCCTCGCTCTGCATGGCCTGGCACGCACGCGCCACACCTCACGTAGCCTCGTCTCTATCAGGGAGGCGTCGTGACCGAAACTGTGCCCAGAGCTCTGCCCGGGTATGACCGAAAACTGCGCCCGAAAATGTCCGACCGCGCTCCGGGTGTGACCGAACTGTTCGGCTCGAAACCGAGACGGTCTTCAGCTTCGGCCACGTCTTCGGTCACACGACGATTTCGGTCACCTGCCGCCTCGGCTGCTGGGGGCGGGGCGCAGCGACGCACCCTCTGGGCGCCCTCAGAGGCGCAGACGTAGAGGGGGCGCCGCGGCAGCAGACGGCGGTGGGACCTCGCGTCCTCGGCGGCTCCCCCTCGCCCTGCACCCCCTCCTCGCTGCCCGGCCCGCGGGGGGGGCGCGGGCTCCAAGGGGCGCGGGGGGGGGGAAGCACGCCGAGCTGAGCCGCCAGTGGAGCGCCAGTGGCGCGGTCCTGGGCGGCGGCGGGCAAGCGGGCCCCTGGCGGCCACGAGCGGGCGGCGGGGGGGTCGAGGCGTTCCCCCCCCCCCCGAGCCTGTCCCCCCCACCCCACCCGCTGACGCGGCCCGTGTCCCTGCCCTCCCTGGCTTCCGGGCCGCGGTGCCACTCTCCGAGGGCCGTGCGGGGCGCTCAGGGCACCCCGGGAGCGCCCTCGACGCGGCGCAGCTGATGGAAACCACCTCGGGTTGCGGAGCCTCTGGAGAACTCCCGGAAGCGGTCGGCGACTCCCCCCCTGAGCCTGCCGTCCCCCCTACCCCAGGAGGCGTCAGGCCCTGGACGGTTCCTGATCTGATGGGGGCGGCGGTGATATCCGTGGCCGATCCACAGTTGAACTTCCACCGGATTCCAGCCCCTGGACCCCTGTGCCCAGCGGTGCCTTATCCGATGCCCTCACAATACATTGGGTCGGAGGATCGCGCCGCATATGCGGCTCGATGTGGAGCCCGACGTTCTTCACGCCGACGGCGCCGATGCATCGCCGACGCCTCCAGTGCATCGCCGATTTCTTATCCACTGGTTTCTTATCCAGTGCCCTCACCGTAAATGTCCCTGAACTACTGGGAGAACCGAAAGGTACTGATACCGCTACTCCCCGGACCTCCCCCAGGGTGCGCTCCAACCAGGACTTCGAGGCGGACCCGGCGGTGGCGACGAGGGGCCCCCAGGAGACCCGAGAAGCTGGGAAAACGAGGGAAGGGCAGCGGTATGGGTATACCCCTTCCTCTTCTGAACCTCGCTGCCCCCGAGCCCCCCCTCGGCACCACGTCGGCCATGCCGCGCAGGCAGGTGTAGAGCCTTTCAGCGGCTCGGGAGCGGCCAAGAGGGGGGTGTCCAAGAGGGGGGGATGCAAATCATGACCGGCGGCATGCGCGCGGCCCCGCGGGGGGACCTGGGACGTAAGAAAATAAGAAGAGGCGCCATGAAATCTGAGGAAAAATCATGGCCCGCGCCATGAAATCCACCCCCCCCACCCCCCTCGTTTCCGCTCCCGAGCGGCGTGCGCGGCGCCGCGGGCGCCGGGGAGGATCGGCGGGGCGACGGGGCGCGGCCCGCGCGAGCGGCGGGCGGCGAGCGGCGGCCGGCTCGCGAGCAACGGGGCGGCAGCAGACCGCAGCAGGCCGAGCGGCCCACGAGCAACGAGCGGCAGCAGGCCCCGCAGCCGCTGGCACGACGGCGGGAGGGGGGGGGGGGGGGGGGGGGGAGGAGCTTCGGGAGCGGCAAAGAGGGGGGGTGTCCAAGAGGGGGGGGTGCAAATCATGACCGGCGACCCAGCGGGGGGGCCAGGAACGCAATGAGATAAGAAGAGGCGCCATGAAATCTGGGGAAATATCATGGCCCCCGCCATGATATCCACCCCCCCTAGTCATCACCCCCTCTTTGCCGCCCCCGAGAGCTGGGAAACGGGCCGAGGAGTACCAGGCACATCGGATGGGCGAACCCAGTGTGCGTCGCCTGCAGTCGCTCCACTCGGCCGGCTGAGAGCGGGAAGGAGGGACGGGGTGGGAGGGCGAAAAGGGAGGAGGAGGAGGAGGGAGGAGGAGGAGGAGGAGGAAGAGGAGGAGGAGGAGGAGGAGGGGAGGAGAGGAGGAGAGGGATGAAGGCGATGGCGGATAACAGGGGGGGGGGGGGGGAGAGAGGGAGAAGGGACGAAGGGAGGATGGGATCAGGAGCAGGAGAACGAGCGAAGGGGAGGATGAGAAGGAGTATCAGGGCTGCCTACCCTGTCGGCGTATGTGAGGGGGATATCTGGGTTGGTCGTCCTGGGGTAGTCCCAGGAGACGCTCCTAGAGTCAAAACTGGACAACGCCGAACTTGCGTCGAATGCCCCTTCCTTTCCCTTTGATCCCATCTCCGCTGGTGAGGGGGTCCTCGTGTGTGTGTGTGGCTGCTATGGCTGCTGGTGCGGCGATCCATAGCGATCCTGCTTGAAGGCCCAGTCCCGCGCGCCCGTCCGCTTGCTGGATATTACCCCGCCGCGTCGCCTCGCGCGAGGCCGCTACCGCTCAGACCTTTGTGTGTGTGTGTTGTGTGTTGTGTGTCGTGTGCTGTTTGTGTGTATGTGTGTATGGGTGAGTGTGCGTGTGCGTGTGCGTCTGCGTGTGCGTGTGCGGCGTGTGCGTGCGTGCGTGCGTGCGTGCGTGTGTGCGTGCACGCTTGTGTGTATGTGTGTGTGTGTGTTTGTGTGTGTGTGCGCGTGTGCGTGTGTGCGTGTGTGCGTGTGTGTGAGAGAGTATGTATGTGTGTGTGTGCGCGTTCTGCTACAGTTGCCCCATCCGCCAGCACAGTCACTCTGCCTAGCCGCCGACGCAAAAAGTGTGTGCGCGTCCCCCCTTCATCTCAGTAGCACGAACGCCTTGGCGGAGCGTTCTCCTTCGGGGAGAAGCTTTCCCCGTCCCTGTGGGTTACCCTCGGGCCGGCAAGTTTGGCCCAAGACACCCACTATTGCTCCAAGAGGGCTCCCACGAGGGCCCGCATGTGCAACAATATGTAATCTTCCAAAAAAGGTTATCGGATGCTTTTGGAGCTATCGCCTTTGTGGGCTTCCAACGCTCGAAAAAGTGCCCAAAGGGCCCCTGAGATCGCCCCAAAACGGCCGAAACGAGGGCCTCGAGACGGCCCGAGATGGCCCAAGCAGCCCCCAAGACGGTCCAAGAAGGTCCCATGAGGGGCCGAAGTTCGGGAGCACGAACTGACATGTCGAGCTCTCCGCCCAAGGGGACTCCCGAGATCGCAAACGGGCCCCCAAGATGTCCCCATTAGGCCCCCAGAGGACCACTGAGGCCCACAAGAGGCCACCGAGAACTACCCCAATAGGCCTACAAAAGGCCCTCAAGAGCCCTCCGGTAGGCACCCCGAGGGACCCTCATGCGTTCAAGAGGTCTCTGGCCCACCACACAAGCACGCTGGAGGAACGGGCCGAAGGCAACTCGATCCAGGTGGCACGGTGTTCTGTCACTGCTCCAATGTCGAGGCGCTCTTCAAGCCGATCTGAGATAACCGTCGGCCTGCCTTCCTGCACTCCTCGGCCCCTGGCGACCTTCCAGGGCCTCTTAAATCGTCAGTAGCGCCTCCAAAAAAGTCTGAGAAGTTGGCGGAAGTCGTCGCGTGTTGGTCATACATACACTGCGCAACACCAGCCGAAATGCGGTCCCAGGGCCTTATGCTCCAAGTAATCCCTGATGCCCACTCGGGGTCGAACCCAACGGATCCAGAACAGCGGAGCACTGGCCGACAGGAGTGGGCGGAGGATGACAACGAGGATCGACAAGGGACACGCGGGCGGGGAGGGAAGGGGGGAAGAGGTTCTGGACCGCGAGAAAACACGTCAAGACAGGAGGCAGGCAAGAGATGTGGGGGTCAGGCGGCAGACCGTGCGGTGGCCTCGGGATCCCCGAAGACCCCGCCGCACGGCCCGTCACCGCAGGGCCTTGCGAGATCAGAAACCCAAGTCGCCCTAAACGTCCTCGGACCAAACAAAATCCCAAAACCACTGTCACCCCGAATCCCCACTGACTCACCACGCGGTATGGCACCGCACCGTTTGGGGGCCTCTCAGGAACGGGAAGGTCATACAGAGGACCTGGGGAGGGGGGGGGGCGGCCAGCACGAGTAATTACTTGGGCACTGCCCCCCCCCCCCTTCCCTGTCCTCCCTCCTCTTTCCTCTCCGTACGGAGGGGCTGGGGGGCAAGGAGGATTGCGGGGTGGTCCTCTCTCTCTCTCTCTGCTTATGTGTCTCCCTGTCTCTCTTATAAAAGGCTCTCTTTCTCGCTCTTTCTCTCCCTCTGTCTCTCTCTTTCTCTCTCTCTCTGTCTCTCTCTCTCTCTCTCTCTATGTACAGGTACACGTGTGTCTCGGTGTGGGTGTCGGTGTTTTTCTATATGTCGATTTCTGTCTCTCTTTCTCTCTCTCTGTCTCTCTTTGTTTTTGCTTGTCTCGTTTTGTTTGTTTTGGTGTTCGCTCTCTCTCTCTCTCTCACTCTCTCTCTTTCTCTCTCCTTGTGTGTAGCGGAGGAGGTGCAGCATGGATGAGGAAGGTGGCGGGGAGGAATACAGTGGAGCAGTGAGACGGTTACAGCGCTCTCGGGGTTCCTTGGGCTCTCTCCTCCCCGATCATCCAATGTCTCTCTCTCTATCTCTCTCTCTGCCTGTCTGTCTGCCTACCTGCCTGCCTGCCTGTCTGTCTGCCTGTCTGTGTCTGTCTGTCTGCTTGTCTGTCTGTCTACTTGTCTGTCTGTCTGTCTGTCTGTCTGTCTGTCTGTCTGTCTCTGTCTGTCCCTCTCTCTGATATATATATGTATATATATATATATATGATCTGCCTATGATCCCTATACACATATATAGGCATACACATATATACATATATACATATATATAACATACATACATACATACATACATACATACATACATACATACATACAGACAGACCTACACACATACATGCATGCATGCATACATGCATGCATACATACATGTATATACATATACTAAGACCACGCGCGCGTTACGCGCGCGCGCGCTCAAGTTCTAGCTAGTATTTTGAGTCACACATTTTTCAAAGGCCCGGGACCCTGGAAGAAGCCCCCACCCACCCCCAGGAAGCCCCATGACGGCCAAAGAAGGCCCCAAGACACCCTCCGAAGCATTCCAAATCATGACCCGGTCGTTCAGGGAGACCGCTGTTAGAGGTAGGGTGGCCCGAAGAAGCCCCCAGAGGCCCCCAGAAAACGCCCACGAAGGCTCCAGAAAGCCTTAAGAAAGACAGAAAAACTTCAGTGAGGCACCCGGAGGCTCTCTCAGGAGGAGCCTCCGCAAAAAGAGCTGAGCAGGATGGGGTAGGGCGAGAATAAGGAAAACGAGACATGGAGGAAAAGACAACGAATAATATTATTATAACGGCGATGCCGGAAAAAAAAGGCAACAAGGAGCTATCTCTAATTTGTCGGTTTGATCTTCGTGCCATTTCGCCTGCATACCAAACTTCAAAAATCAAGGTGCATGGCGCGAAACGCAAATGCAGTCTTGAATCCATGTGTGTATACATGTGTATATATATATATAGATATATGTATATATATAAACAGATGCATCCACAAATATGTGTGTAACAGTATATATATACATGTGTATAGAAGTATATATGTGTGTATGTCTGGGCACCTTGTTGTATATCTTTCTTTTTCTCTCTCTCTCTCTCTCTCCACCCCCTCGCTATCTGCCCCCTTCCTCCCTTCGCATCTCTCTTCATTATGTTATCCTCTCTCCTGATGCTCCTTCCTGTCCTGTTTCTGTTCTCCTGCTTCCGCTCCGCAGACGCCACCACTGTGACTGAATTGATTGAAAGCGGTAGAGGTGGAGGATGATCGCGTGGGGCCTGCAGAACGAAGAGGATAAGAACGCATGGGTGGTGCATATCGAGCTGTACTCCATGTCGTTGATCGGGGCCAGGAAGGCGGCCCAAGACTCCATGGTGCCTTCGCGGAATGTTTCGATTGAGGATCTTAGTGGGGCGAGGAGGATTACGGGCAGTATGGGTAAGATGAGAGGTGGGGACGGGGAGACAGGATTGGGAACCAGGATGATGAGCAGAACCAGCGTGAGGATGATGAGGAGGCCCGATGAACAGGATGTAGACGGGGAAAGATGAGAATTGGGCGGAACATGAGGACGGGCACGGGGACAGCAACACCTCTCCATAAATTAATTCTGAAGGGAACAGAACCTGGACATCTTGAAGGTTTTCTTCGTGATCGGTTATTCATCCTCGGCCGTTCGTTCGACGTTTCCGCGACCCACGAGGGTCCTGGGAGCCCAGCATCCAGAACAACTGCTTACCCATCGTAGACCCCAGACAGTGTGTTCTAGCATGCTGCGTGTTGCATACTATGTGGTGCAATCTGTGTCGGTGCAGCTGATGTGGTCTAAGCTATGGATTGCACTATAAGTGTCGCAATTTACGTGACGTAAGCCACGTGATGCAATATATATATATATATATATATATATATATGGTGAGCAATCTTAGGAGTGCATTTTACGCACTGCAAATTCTGCGGAGCAAGCTATGTGGCGCAATGAATGTGAAGCGAACGTGCTCATCCATGTGGTGTGCGCTAGATGATGCAGGTACAGTACGCGGTCCGATTTATTGGGTGTAAAGTATGTGGTGTAATCTATGGGGTGCAAATCACGTGCCGAACTTGAAAGAGTCAACCCCACTGCTCGCGCAATCATCCCACCCACCCGCCCGCAACTTGGTTTGCAAAATCTCTTAAGACCGTGACGGTGGGTACCAAATGGCACTTGGCAACGACAGCGATGCCGACGACGACAGCGTCAACGACGACGACGACGACGCCGACAACGGCTACGACGACACCGACGACGTCTCCAACGACTTCGACGACGCCGACAACGACGACGACGACGACACCGACGACGACGCCGACGCCGATGACGACGACGACGATGACAACGACGACGACGATGACGACGCCGACGACGACGACAACGACGACACTGACGACGACGACGACGTCAACGACGCCGACGCCGACGACGACGACGTCGGCCGCGACGACGACGACGCCGAAGTCGACGACGACGAAGACGACGACGACGCCGACGCCGACGACGACGAAGACGACGACGACGTCGCCAACGCAGACGACGACGAGGGAGGAGGGAGGACGACGACGGCGACAACGACGACAACGACGAGGGAGGAGGGGGACGGCGACGACGCGAACGACGAAGAAGGAGGAAGGACGGCGACGCCGACGACGACTACGACGACGGAGGAGGGAAGACGCCGACGCCGACGACGACGACGACGACGACGGCGGCGAAATAGGAGGGACGACGACGAGACGCCGACGACGGACGACGACGACGACGAGGGAGGAGGAGCAAGGACGACCACGACGACAACGACGACGGGAACGACCACGACGCCAAAGAGGACGACGACGACGAACACGAGGAAAGACAGAGGACGACGCAGGCGACGACGACGACGACGCGGGAAGAGGGAGGACGGCGACGACGACGACGACGACGACGACGCAAGAGCGCGCGCGCTCGGTTTTGTTGAAAATCCGAGGTGCAAAACCTTCTTTTTGTAGGTTTTTTGGACACACGATTTTGAAATCCTTCCGAAACCGAAGGGTTTTGAAGGATTTCGGCATACGCGCGCGACGACGCGCGCGTCTGCACTTCGTCCCACTTTTGCAAAGGACTCTCGCGACGGCACACGCGCAAGGGCGTTCGACTGATTTCGACATGCGCGCGCGCGAAGCCCGTTTGGTAGCATGTTGTAAAAATCAGGAAAACAACGAAAAAGTGTTCTTAAGATGTCGCAAGAACTCGCGCGTCAGTTTGTTTAGCAAGTCAGTGTTGCGAAACCCTGTGTTTTGTATGTTTTTTTGGAAACTCGATTGCGAAATCCTTCCGGCACCCAAAGTTCGTGAATGATTTTGGCATGCGCGCGCGACGAAGCGCGCGTGCGCACTTCGTGTCATTGTTCACATGGGAGTCGCGAAAAAATGTTATGTTAGAACAAAAGATGTCACCGCATAGTGTTTTTCCACAAGGAAACCTCTGGGGTGGGGAACCCGGTTGGCCTGGGACATTGCGATTTCATATTTAGGGTGGACATGTGGTCAGAATCATATGTGATTTGCATAAGACGCGGGGGGAGTGATAACGCCGGGGGGGGTAGAGTCTATTCTGTTTTTAGAAAGGAGACTGGATTTAACAAGCGAGCTGACGTATCCCACAACATTGCAAACATCCCACCCACCCACCCGCGAATTGGTTTGCAAAACCCATGCGGTGGCGATTGCGATGCATGCTTGGCGTTGGCTGGTGCATCTCTGCGACCGCGCAAACCCTAGCACAAGCGCGCAGCGGCCAGCGAGTTTGGCGCCGCCGACGCGGCCGCGGTGGCGCTGACCGCTGAGCGCATCCGGCGACTTTGGCGAGCGCGGTATCATGGCAACGCCGACAACGGCAGACACGATACTGGTACTAGCGATGCTGGTGACAATGTTCGCACCGACGAAGGCGCGGCCAGCGCGGGCGCCGATGCTGATCACGCCAACGACGATGACGGCGTCCTCGCGTCGGTGGTGAAGGTTTTGGGAAGTGTCCGACATGCGCGCGCGGCCGACGCATGAGAGCGGCCCGCATGGTTTTATTTGACACGGATCGCGCCCCCCCCCCAGCGCGCGCACAAGGGCGCGCGACTGATGTCGGCATGCGGCGCCATAGGCCCGTTTGGCAGAATTCAGCGAACATGTTGGGACACTTTTGGTTCTCATGCAAATGTCCAGAAACGCGCGCTCATTTTTGGGGGAAATGATGGTGCGAAAACGTGTGAGTTTGAATGTTGGTTTGTTCATTCGGTTTTGAAATCGCTACGAGACCGAACGTTTTGAAGAATGTCGGCATGCGCGCGCGACGACGCGCGCGCGTGCACTTCGCTTTGTTTTTGTGGCACCGGCATCTCGCGGCACGCGAGGGCGTCCGCGCGATTTCGACATGCGCGCGCGAAGCCTGTCTGGTAGCATCTTCTGAAGATGGTGTAAAACAGCACTTTTCCATCAAAAAGTCGCCAGAGCGCGCGCGCGTCTTTCTCATGTGTTTTCGTTTCAAAAAATGCTATACGCATATATAGAAATAGCTATACCTAGAAAGAGGGAAAGAACAGCGTCGCGAAGATATGTGTTTTATGTGCTATTTAGACACTCGGGTTTGAAATCCTTCTGGGGCCGACGGTCATTGCGTAACTTCGGCATGCGCGCGCGACGACGCCCGCGCGTGCACTTCGCCCATCTTTAGCATGGGATTTTTGGAAATTTCAACTGCTTGATCAACAAGTGCGCGCGTGTAATATTTGGGGCAGAGGTTGGCGGGGGGGTCGAAGCCGCCTGGGCCGGGGCGGTATAAAATCATATTTGGGATGGACGATGGGACGGAACCACATCTAACCTGCAACAAAAAAAAGTGCACCGAGAAGCCAGGGGGGACCTTGCATTTTAGAACGGAGAATTGACTGTCCTGCACCGCGCTTGGCCGCCTCCGCTGCTCGCGCAATCATCCCGCCCATCCACCCGCACCTTGGCTTGCAACGCCCATGCGGTGGCGATTGCGATGAGTGCTTGACGTTGGCTGGCCAATTCCTGCGGCAGCGCCGACCCAAGCACGCGCGCGCAGCGGCCAACAACTAGTTTGGCGCGGCCGACGCGGCCGCGGCGGCGCTGGCCGCTGGGCGCGCCCCAGCGGGCACTTCCGTGCGAGTCGGCGACATGGGCGGGCGCGGTGCCATGGCAGTGTCGACGACAGTAGACACGACGATGCTAGCAGCGATGATGGCGACGACGTTGAGGACGACGGCGCGGCCAGCGCGGGCGCCGATGCTCGCCGCGCCGACGGCGACCTCGCGTCGGCGGTGAAGGTTTTGGGAAGAGTTCGACATGCGCGCGCGGCCGACGCGCGAGAGTGGCCCGCGCGGCATTCCTCGACGCGGATCGCGCCCCCCCCCCCCCCCCCCCACCCCACCCCACCCCAGCGCGCGCACAAGGGCGCGCGGCTGATGTCGGCATGCGGCGCCAGGGGCCCGTTTGGCAGAATTCCATAACAGGTAAAAAACGATGATTTTCGGGAGAGCTCGCAAGAGCGCGATCGCGTGTTTTTCTGAAACTGTCCCTGCGAAGCTGTTTATGTTTTATGTTCATGGGACACTCGGCTTAGAAATTGCTGCGGCACCGGATGTTTTTGACGGATTTCGGCATGCGCGCGTCGCCGCGCTTCGTTTCATTCGCTGCCAAGGGTTATCGCGCCAGTGCACGCGCCAGGGCTTTCAAACGATTGCGACGTGCGCGCGCGAAGCCCGCCTGGCCGCATTATCTTGAAATCTTGAAGCACCTATGGCATCCTTAACAAGTCGCATGGGCGCGCGCAAACTGTTTCCCAACCATCCTGTTTTTGCGGCCCCTCGCTTTGAAGAGACGGCGCCCCGCGTCCTCACTCCTCTTCCCCTTCCCCCTCCCCCCCCTCACCCCTCCCCCATCGCCATCGTCGTCGTCGCCCGTTCCAGCGCGCCCCTTCACGCGCTTCGCGGCCCCATGAAGGGCCCCACCGAAGGCCCCAATGGGGCCGCCCGCATGCGTCGCGCACCACCCAGCACAGCGCTTCGCGGCCTCATAGGGAGCTCATCAGACGGCCCCAGTGGGGCCACCCGCAGGCGCCCCGCACACCCAGTCCGGCGTTTCGCGGTCCAAATGGGACCTCCACAGGCGGCCCCAGTGGCACCGCCAGCATGCAACGTGCACCACCCGGTTCACAATTCCGTGGGCCGAAAGGGAGCTTCACCGAAGGTCACAGTGGGACCGCCCGCATGCGTCACGCACCACCCAGTCCAGCGGTTCTTGGCTCCATGAAGAGCTCCACTGGCGGCGGCCCCAGTGGGGCC